TCATTCCCTGATAAAGGCAAAGGTCAACCTGGGGAGATTGGAAGGGCAGATGCCACCTGCTTATGTCAATGCCTTTGTCTGTGGGTTTAAGTGACAAGGAGTTGACAAGGAGGAAGAAGCTGACTGGCCTGAACTGGTGCAGTGTGTTTGCAGATGAAGATCATCTCAAGGACAGGTTCAGAATGAGTAAACCTGGGGCTTTATTCAAGTCCCTGTCATCTTCGTTTCCTTTTCAAAGGACATCATGACATTGAGAACTTCCAGACTCAGTTACAAGTGTGAGTTGCAGCACTCGAGGCCAAAGCTGGTGATTAAAATGCAGAGCAGTGTCAAGACTCCCTCCAAAAGGCTGGGCTTTATCTCCTGCTGGTGGCCAAGCACTGAGTGTTCTGTTATTAAGAACTCAAAGGTTTTAATTGATGTAGCACTGGAGCGATAAGGAAACTGTTGCCATTCTGTCCTCAAGATAGATGTATGGTCTCTCACCTTGGAGAAGACAAACAGTCCAGAATTTTTAAGTGCAACAACTTTGAGCCCGAATCTCTGCCTTTGCTGTGTCTTGAAGTGGACAACCAAGACTTAGACTTTTCAAATTCTTCACCATTCTGCCTCAAAGACAAGCTGGAAGCTGACATACAAAAGCCATGCCAAACACTACCCTGTCACTGTCCTTATGAACTCAGTAAGAGGCTAAGAGCATCAGCTCAGAAGGCCGTCTGTGATTCGGTCTCTTTTTTATCCCTTTCTCTTAATGATGGGTCCTTTGAGTGTCAAGATGCATCCCATTTAGAATCCCCCCACACCCTGCTTCTGAGTTTCAGACTTGGACTTCATCTCTGAGAGAACAGCAATTTATCTTTTCCAAAAGCAAAGCCTCTGCCTTTGTGCATCTTACACAGGGCAGAGCGGCAGCATTTCATTTGATGCCAGAGAGCAAGTGAAAATCCACAGCTGCAGAACAGAACCCTGGGGAGATGTGTCCACAGCCCCCGGTGCTTCATTTGCAGAGCACAAATGGCTACCTCTGGGAGTGTTGGAGATGGGAGACTGGCCCAATAGCCTTCTGCTCATGTCTTCATTTGCAGTCAGTAGGCAATATAGATGGTATAAGGAAGATTCATGAGGAGAAGAAGAAAAGGAGCAAGGATCATGCCCAGCCAGCTCCATGGAAAGGGAGAAACAGAAGGCCCTGAGGAACCCAGCAGCCCTAGATCCATAAAACAGGCTGGTTGGTTTAGACCAGCATTGACCCTATCATGTGACCTGTGAGACAGATTGCTCTGGCCAGAAAGGAGTCTCAAAGTCCATCCCTCTGGCACTGTATGCGGAAAGTCAGCTATCTCTGACCATGTAAATGTGCTTCTTATAAGAAAAACACACTATTCCTCCAAGCAGGAGTAGACATACTAGGCACAACCATCAGACAATCTCACATCTTCTACACTGCAACTCATTATCAGTAAAGCAGATTTTGCTTCAAACCATCAGGGAAAATCCACTCTGTGCTGGCTCTCCTATTTAAGGGAGTTACTCCATAGGAGGGTGTGACTGGTGAGCTACACTCAGGAGAACAGTGCTAAAAAGTGCCCATGAGCTCTAGCTGGGACCATATTGGCCCCAGAAAGCAGCCTAGAGCCCAGCATGGCATCATTCTACAGCCTACAGTTGGAGGTAGTCAGATGAGGCATGAGAATTGAACCAAGTTTCAACTGCCTGCATCATTGTTAAGTTTGATTCAACTTAATCTTTAGCCTTGAAATGTCTGTTTCTTATAAGGGGGTATCTCTTCACACCCCAAAGACTTTACAGTAGGAAACATTAGGCAATCGGATGAGGACAGCATTTCACACAGAGCTCTAGTCATCCCCTCCTGCCTTCTGTCCCACCCCCATCATCCAGTTAAAAGAGCAGCTTTGGGTATTGATGGGACCTGCCAGTCGGTGACGGCTGCAGGATGGAGAAGAAAATAACACCATTCTGTGCTCTCCATAGACAGGAATACAGAAAGAATACAGAGTGTACTAGAGTCCTCATCTGTGCTGCCACGGTCAGATGGCTCTATCCTGTCTCCAAGTTTACAATAGTAGAGGAAGGTGTGGCCTTGCTCCCTTCCACATGCTCTTTTCCTTTGCTTCACCACAAGTCGTTGCTAAGGTCACTGACAGACAGAGATGTGTCCTGGCTATGCATGTATCAGCAGCAAACTGTGACAGAGCGTCTCCTGCTCCTTCAGCACTTCCTGGTAGAGACACAAAGTTTACCTCAGAACCCTGCTTTATTCACGCTACTGTGGAGAAAATTGTATTAGCCAAACTCCAAGAAACTTGTTATCTTAGAAGCTGGCTTCTCTTTACAAGTCACTTTGTGGGGGCAGCATGTTTGTGTGTTTATATGCCATGTTTTATGCATGTGGGCAAGATGTCTAGTGCCATCCCCAATCTTTATTTTCTGAAACAAACTCTCAATAAACCTGAATTGAGCAGCTTGGCTAGACTGACTGGCTAACAGGCTCTAGGAATCCTCTTGCCTCTGCCTCCTCAGCACTGAGATCATAGGCACGTGCCTGGGTGTTTGGGGATGTTGGGGATCTGAACTCAGGTCCTGGGAAGCACTTTACCAACCCATCCATCTCTCTATCCCCTCTCTAAAAGTCATCTTTGAGGATGAGAAGGGCCAACAAAAAGGCCTAAAACTATCTAGTAACTCTCTGTAGTGTCTCCTAGGTGGAGGGAAATCCCTTCTGCATGTAGACTCTTCAGGGGTGTTGCCCAGATGGTCAGTATCTAAGAGAGAAGCAAGGAGCAGCCAGCAGCATAATCCAGCAAGCTCTTCTTCAGAAAAGGGTTGGTGGACAGACTCAGTGAAGGAGACGAGAGGTCTGAGGAAGAAAGGTCTGAGGGTGTTGCTGCAGAGACCAAGTGGTCTTTTTCTGCAACAAAGCATTAGCTCTGGTTTGGGCTGGTGCACCTGAAAGACCCCCCACATGGTGGGACCCCGGAGTGACCACTTGGGAATGTAGCGACCCCAATCACCAGGCAGAGGCAAGGACTTGATGCAAACCGCAAGAGGCTTTATTGCAATTGTTTAACGCGCTAACCCCATTAGCTTGGGCCTTTCATCCACCCACCATGGCGGATGGCTAGGACAAAAATACCCTCGAGAAACTCCGGGACAAAGATCTTGTAGGACAGCATAAGGGGAGTGTCTAGGGGTATGCACGGGCTCAGGATTGGCATGCCTCCAGGCTTGGAGGACTTGCCCTGTGTTGATTGGTCAACTGGTTGTTATGGCCCATAGGCCCTCCCAGGGTGGTTTACTTTACATGGTGCTATGCTTTACATGTCATTGCCATGCACTTGTCCATAAAGCACACCCAGAGCCATAAAGCATAGCACCACCAGCTAACTTCTGATTGGTTCCTTGCCACGAGGCAGGCATCTGACCTCCTAGTGACCAAGGAAAGGTCAGGCAAGCACGTGTTAGGCTGTTATGGCTGCCAAAAGGGGGAGCTGGTCCCTTCACACCTTAGCCAGGAACTCCAGGAGGCCTGTCTAAAATGCTTTCTAGGAATAAAGAAAGAGGACATGCTGGGTGTGGTGGCACATGCATTTGATCCCAGCACTTGGGAGGCAAAGGCAGGCAGGTGGATCTCTGTGGATTCAAAGGTAGCCTAGTGTACAAAGTGAGTTCTAGGACATCTAGATCAATGTAGTGACACCCTGTCTCAAAACAAACAAAGAGGAAGCAGAAGTTCTAGAATGGGGTGGCTAGTAGAGAGCTCAAGGGCAGGCACAGGCTCATTTCACATGGAAATAAGGCGGCAGTGGTGAGCTGTGTTCTTTTGCTATTGAATGAGGTGGCCATTTCTGCTAGTAGCTGATAAGGGGCCAGCACAGGTTAAAGAACAATGAGTGTCACTGCAGAGGAAGAAGGGAGCCCCAGGCCATGGACTGAGTCTGATTGGAAAAATCTAGATTGCATTGTCACCTTAGAATGCCAACAGAGACTCCCTGGAGTTGGGAGCAGAGAAGGATGTAGGGCAGGCAGGTCTGGACTTTAGGAAGTCACCTCCTAGTCATTGAAAGTGCTGTAAAAGGAAATGTCCAAACCAGATACTGGAAGGGAAGGAAGGCCAAGACCACATGGGCAGGCATAGTTTGGCCTGCCCTATTCTCCTGACTTCCTCACTGTTACCAACAGATACCTTTATGGCTGACATAAAAGCCTTCCAAAGCCTTAGCCTTGCAGCCCTCAATTATTTGTTCTCTTTCCCTGGCAAGAAGAGGTGGTTTTAAAAGTGGCCACTTCCTGGGTTCTCTAGTTCCTGTGACCACCACCCCCAACCAAGGGATAGCCTGCTGTGAACAGTGACTATGGGGTCTGACCAGGCTATGTCCTGTGAGAATAATCTCTGCAGAAACGAACATTCACTGAGGACAGTGCTTACTCTTGGAGCTTTCTAGGACCAAAAACAAAAGATTGCTGCCTCTCTCTCATTCTCCTTCCTCTGGCTGTCCCCCCACCCCACTCCTCCACCTCCACCTCCCACCACACACACACACACACACACACACACACACACACACACTAGCCATCACTACTCCTTGGCGCCTGCCTAGCTTGTCCCGGAATTGTGTGGGATGTCACTATAGAGAGTAGCTTCCCCTTGTCTGCAGCCAGCCAGCCAACGTCTTCCTGCTCCTGACCAGATCCGATTGCACAGTCTGCCCTAATCTCTTGAGAGTCTGCACATGCCTTGTGTCCTGAATCTAAGCCTACAACACAACACAGGAAAAATGAGTGGGCTTTCCCCGAGCTGGGCCAGGCAAGGACGTCGGATATAGATCCTCCAGGTTTGCCCCAGCCCACTCCTGAGACAACTGGGTACTATGAGCCACTTCTCTATACATGGAATACCCCTCCCCTTGACCCCCAAGCCCAGTGCTGTTCAGAGGAAATCAGAAGCAGTGATGAGGAAGGTGCCGTTGTTCTTGTTCCAGGTGCTAAACCAGCCCCTGGCATCTGCTTTGAGAGAGTCAACTCTGCAGGAGATCCTTATGGCAACTGTGGCAAAGACTCCAAGAGTGCCTTCGTCAAATGTGAGATGAGGTATGAGACCACACACCCCGCCGCAGTGGCACTGAACCCCTGGCAGAGGTACACATGGCAGAGGCCACTCCATACTGGTCCTCTTCTGAGCTTGTGTGTTCTTACCCTTCCAGAGATGCCAAGTGTGGAAAAATCCAGTGCCAAGGTGGTGCCAGCCGACCAGTCATTGGTACCAATGCAGTTTCCATAGAAACAAATATCCCACAGCAGGAAGGAGGTCGGATTCTGTGCCGGGGGACCCATGTGTACTTGGGCGATGACATGCCAGACCCAGGACTTGTGCTTTCGGGAACAAAGTGTGCTGAAGGAAAAGTAAGAATACAGTTCTCACTTGCCTCCTAATGTAAATCTGGAACACAGCCCACTGGAAGAGCCTGCTTAGGAACTGGGGGATGAGGCCAGTTGATTTTCCTAAAGTTCCTCAGAACACGTCGGTCTCTGGAATCCAACTCTTTGCACCTAGAAGAAAAAGTCAGTCATGCCGAGGTCCCAGTCTGACCATTGAGACACAGATGGGGGGACCTGGGTTGTTTTCTCCCTTTAGCATAAGCTATTTCTTCATCCTGGGCTTCAGGGAGGCTTCCTGCCAGGAAATGACCTCAGAAAGAAGCACAGCAGTGGATCATCTTGCTTTGGGGAAGTGCCAGAGCTCTTGGGGGCCTGTTGTCACCTGGGCAAAATGGGAAGTCAGCCACATCTTCAGAGACTGTAGAGAAAGGAGGAGCACAGGAGAGGGGGTCAGCTGAGAGATGGAGGGGAGCCCTTGGGGAGAACAGGGAGGAGGAAGGCTGAGAATGCTTTCAGAGTTTAAAACAAGGCAAAATTTTAAAGGAAGAAACTAGGATTTTCTGCCACAGTGGTTTATAAATGTGCATGTGTGCAGATATATATAGTATATATGCACGTGTGTGTGTGTGTGTGTGTGTGTGTGTGTGTGTGTGTGTGTCATGTGTGTTTTTATGTGTACAAGGTGTGTGCATGTGCTTGTGTGTGTACCAAGGATAATCTTAACTACACTCCTTAGGCATCTTTTTCTTTCTGTCTCTCTTTTTTCTTTTTCTATCTTTTTTTTTTTTTTTTGGATACAGGGTCACATGCTTGCACAGCACACACTTTACAGACTGAGCTCTTTCTCCCCAGTCTCTGTTTTGCTTTTGTCTTTTCATCAGATTTTCCATCAGACTAAATGATAGCAAATTGATTAAATTTTTCAAGAAAACATGACAAATCATCTCACATTTTTAGAACCCATTTTTCCCATGATCATAAAGTCACTCTCAAAGGTCATGGTAAAGAAAGGACAGAACCTAAGGTTTCCCTTACAAAATCCTGGATAGAGCTGGCCCATGGTCCCAGTCTGAGAACTCTTCAACCCCAACTAAAAATGAGCAGAGGACCCTCAGAGACTCACCCAAAATGGCAGAGATGGTAAATAAGCCTATGAAAATGCTTTGTATCACAGATCAACAGGGAAACACCAATTAAAACAACAGTGAGAGACATCACATATCTATGTGAATCACAAAATACACAAAATCCATGATCCCAACTTTTCTCTTAGGGGTACTCACTCTGCCCTCTGGGAACGGTAGCAGGGAAATAACCACCTGACCACAGGAAGTTCTACTTGGTGAATCAACTCAGTATTCTAAACCTTGAACTCTTCTTCCTTTCTCTCCACTAATCTGTAAAGTTGCAGGAGAGAAAGGTACTGAGCAGTGCTGAAAGAGGCAACCACTTCCAACTAGTCCAGGCCATTCAGCAAATGGGAGCTTCTGCAGTGACCAGATAAACAGGACCCTGGGGAGCATTCCTGTGGATGCTGTGTGTCACCAGGGACCCCAAAGCCCTAAACAAAACTCATGAGAAAATCAGTTATAACTTCTCATTTCCACTAAAACCATCTTACATGACATTAAATATAAAAGAACTCCATACTGTTTACATTGGACAACATGTGGAATCAGACCCTGGTAGCTGTCTGTGTCTGAGGCAACAATACAAGTTATTATGCTCCACCCATGCTCACTAAAATGGGAACCTTCTCCAAGTTTTCCTTGCTTTCTCTTTTCATGTTATGTATGGAGGATTGCAAGCATGTGTACCTGTTTGACTGTGACCTGTGGAAGGCAGGGATCAACCTCTGGCCTCATTCATCTGGTGGCATCCACCATGTGTTTGAGACAGGGTCTCTCACTGGAACCCAGGTCTACTAGGTTAGGATGGCTGACCAGCAAGCTCCAGAGATCCACTTTTCTCCACCAGCACACACTACCATGCTTGGTTTTTGTTTTCGTTTTTTTACATGGGCTCCGGGGATTGAACTCAGGTCCTTAGATTTGCACAGCAAATACTTTACCAACAGAGCCATCTCTCAAGCCCTCTGCTTTCTCTTTTTTCATGTGCCTGTGTGAGCAGAGGTACTGAAGCCTGTGCTATGTGTCTCCCACAGATCTGCCTCAATCGTCGGTGTCAGAATATCAGTGTTTTCGGGGTTCACAAGTGTGTGATGCAGTGCCATGGCCGAGGGGTAAGTAGGATTAGTCACCTCCTCTCAGCCAGTCTACAGCCAGCTAATAGCCAACTTTTCTGGTGGATTTATTTTATGTGCATGAAATGTGTTGCCTGCATGTATGTGTATGTGTGTGCTGGTGCCCACAGAGGCCAAAGAGAGGGTCAAATTCCCAGGAACTAGAGTTACAGGTGATTATGAGCACCATGTAGAGGCTAGGAAACAAACCCAGGTCTTCTGCAAGAGTATCAAATGCTCTTAACCACTGAGCCACCTCTCCAGCCCCTACTATACAAAGCTTTAAAAAAAAAAAAACTATAGTAGGCAGTGAGCGCCTCCTCAACGTTTTCTTCTAAAGGCGTTAACTGTCTCTGACCTTTACATAGCAGGAGAAATGTCACTTTCATTTAACAAAGAAAATCAGATTGAGAGGTAATTATCTTTTGAATTAACATTCTGTGATATAAAGAAAGAATTTTGTCATCTTCAAAGTAATTTCTAAGCTAACCTTGCTTCATGAAGGGCTCACATTAGCATTTCAAGCAGGGCTGTCCCTCTTGCTCCCAACAGCCCAAATATGTCTCAACCAAGATACTTGCAAAAGGGATTAAAATGAGGACATCAGATCTACCAACCATGTGTTCTTGAATGCCCTTGCCATGGGTTTTGACTACCACATGCTGCTGAATTCTGAGAAGCTTTAGAGAAGAAAAGGACTCTAATTGTTTAAAACGTAATTTATTTTTCCTGATGCAGTTAATTTTTTTTCCAATGGGATTATATTAATCTTGATTAGTTGCACCAGTGGCTCATTTGTTCTCCTGAAGCTTTTTCTACAGAAACCATGCTCTAAATTGTATTTTTAGACTATCTAGATACTTGGGATTATGGAGGTCTTTGCAAAATCACCACCATGCTGTAATCATGACAGATTGCCGGGCCGCCTCAGACAGGCATGTTGATGTCCTGTTCAGCTGACTCAGTATCAAATGGAATCTCTTCATGTCTTCATTGGATTATAGATTACTTTCTAATGGCGATGGATGAGCAAGCCTGGCCCTTTTGTTTTAGAGATGAGGCCAAGGCCAATGTGGTAGTGAGGGTGTGTCATAGTAACCTAGCCAGCTCAGAGAAAATAGGGCAGGGACCCCTCCTTCTGGTATCTCTGGGTACATGTTGGCAACCCAAGGCCCATATTTTATGGAATAGCCAGCTATGTGTGATAGTTAATCTCCATTGTGAACTTTGTGAGATCTAGAGTCACCTGGAAGATAGGCCTCTGGGCATGCCTGTAGAAGATCATCTTGACTACATTAACTGAGGTGAAAAGACCCGCCAACTATGGGTAGCACCATTCCCTGGGCTGGGATCCTGGACTATATAAAAAGGAGAAAGTGAGCTGAGCACAGAATTCAAGGCTCTCAAATTCTTGACTATGAATGTGATATGACCACCTGTTTCAAGCTCCTAATCACCATGATTCCATACCATGATGGACTTTGAAACATGAGCCAAAATAAACCCTTTTTCTTTAAGTATATTTTTTCAGAGTATTATTATAACATCAGAAAGAAATTAAGACATTTATTTGGTAACAAGTAGTTTGGCCCCAATCTCTCTATGATAAGACCAGGCTTACCACCAGTACCTCCAAGTAGGGAATTCGGGCTATAGTTTCCTGCCTCAAGCTAAGACCACCCACAGGGTGTGAGTCTCATGGTGGTTTGCCATGTATGCAGAGTGTACCATAGACACTAGAATGCTGTCTGTCCCACTTGCTCTTGACCAGCCAAGGTTCTTGTGAATATGCCAACCCTGCCATGGAAGCCTTGGCCTCATCCCTAAAACAAAAAGGACTGAGTTAGTCCGTCCCTTACAACCCTTAGAAAGAAATCTGTAACCCAGTGGTCACAGATGCTCTGCAAAAGACAGAGCCCTGATTAACAGGAGTGTTCTAGAAAGCACATCCCTGTTTCCCATGGACTTTGTTGACTGTTAGCCTCCACAGATGAAGCAACTGGACAAGTGATTGGATCCTTCACAGAAGCCAGTTAGAGCAAGGAGCCATCACAAGCAAGACACCGGCTGCAAATGTTTCATATGCCTTCAAATATTCAAGCATGTATTTGGCCCCAGTGTTTTTATGCAGGGCCCTTGAATTGGTTTCCTAGTTCCACTGATTTCCATACAACAAGCCACCCAGAAATTTATCATCTGTGATTTAAAGTGTTTAAGTGGAAGGGAAGTATAGATACCAGACAGCTATCTGGGCTCATAATCCTTGATCTGAGCAGCTCTCCCCAGCCACCCTACTGTCCTACACCTTCCTAATTTGTCAGGTAGATCTTTATCCAATGCTCCCAAAGCTTAGCCAGCTTTTCATAAAACAAGACACGCAGACTCCTGCAGCTGGGGATGGAGTTCAGTTGATGGAGTGTTTACCTAGAATGTACAAAGCTCTGAGATTGATCTCAAGTACCTCATAAAGTGAGCAGGGTGGGACACACCTATAATCTCAGCACTCAGAAGCTGGTGGCAGGAGATTCAGAAGTTCAAAGCCATTCTTGCCCACAAAGCTAGTTCAAGGCTAGCCTGGGATGCATGAGATCCTGTCTCAAATATTTTTAAAAAGAGAAAATCCTCTGCTCTTCACACTCAAAATCAACTGATTCATATGCAGTTTGGTGAGTTCTGTAAACATCATCAGTGAATTCAAGCAGAAGAACCACAATGGGTGATCCCTTGCAAATAGATGAAGACTCCTAGGTCCTTTCCCTGGAACTCTGCTCTCCCATCGGAGAGCATTAACAACAAGGACAAAAGTACCCTCTCCTGGCATCTTCTTCACAAAGAAGAGTACTACTGTCTTTGCCACAGGAAGCTGAAAGAAAGAGCAGGCATTTGGGGATAGGAGTAGGCTCACAGGAATATTGGCAGACCCTGGCATACCTCCATGGACATCAGAAAATAAGAGGCCTAGCCTGGGCCTACCTCCCCACCCCAGACTGCTGGGGTCCTCCCTGGGCCTCCAGGAGGAGATAGGTTTTATGCCACAGTCATATGATTCTGGGTCCCTAAGTTGGTCCCTCCTTACCACAGAGAAGGGCAAATCCATAGCTTACCTGAGTTAAAAAAGAAAAGAGACCAGGAAAGGGGAGCTGGCTCTCAACAGCAGCTCCCAAACACAGGCAGTTTGTCCTACACTCACCTCCTCTCCTTGGGCTCCAGTTCACTGGCGGGGTGCTGTCTGGGGTGGATTCTCCTGGTCTTCCATTTACTGAGTCTACATGTGTTGCTGAGGGGATCTGGCAGAGTACCCTTGTCTTGTGTGTCCTAACTCTGTCCCCTCTGGATGTTTTGTCCACTTCTGCCCCAAAGGTGTGTAACAACAGGAAGAATTGCCACTGTGAGGCCCACTGGGCACCTCCCTTCTGTGACAAGTTTGGCTTTGGAGGAAGCACAGATAGTGGTCCCATTCGGCAAGCAGGTGAGTGGGGCCCCATCATCCCTGGGAGGGATGCTGAACTGCTGGAGGCTGTGGATATGGGCCAGCCTTCCCCACAGTGGGGACTCTGAGTGCCTCTGTCTCAGCCTAAAGCTTTCAGGTTCTAAACACTCTTGCTCTCCCCAGACCTTTCCTTTTCCTGGATCCCCCTCGATGAAGGTGAGCCATTATGTTGGATATTTTCTTTCCCTGTGACACTTTTCTCAGCTAAGGCAATGTCCACCGTGAGCTGCCAAATGTGTATGAATGTCACCGTCATATCAAAAGACTTGGCAAAGGGTAGCCTTTGTGTGTTGTCAACCCCAGTGCATTTTAAAACTCTGAGTGGAGGAATGATAGCATGAGTACACTTGAGTTACAGACACACGGGGTGGGGGTGGGGGACCGAGACCAAGACAGAGGATGAGGAACAAGCAAGAACAAAAGTATAACACCTACCTCTTAATAATAAAGTGGATGGTTACCACCAGAGATGGCTCAGTTGGTAAAGTGCTAGCTACTTGAGTAGGATCCACAGAACCTACTTAAGAAATTGAGCGTGATGATGTATCTCCAAGCATGGGTGCTGGTGGGGGGGGGGCAGAGATAAGAAAATCCCTGGGAGGGCTAAGATTGGCACATAGTCAACAGGGTGCTTATCTAGGAGATATGAGGCCCTAGCTCAGTCCTTCTCAAGCTGTGGGCTTCGACCCTTTAGGTTTGAATGACCTTTCACAGGGGTTACCTAAGAACATCCGTAGATCAGACATTTACGTTTTGATTCCTAAAAGTAGCAAAATTAGTTATGAAGCAATGAAAATAATTGGCCACCACAACATGAGGAACTATATCAAAGAGGTGCAGCATTGGGAAAGTTGAGAACCACTCCTCTAAATTTAATTCCCAGTATGGCACTCCTAGCAGTGGGGAGATGGAGGCCAGGAGTTCAAGGCTATCCTAGGCTACATAGCAAATTCCTCCAGGGCTCTATGTGACCCTGTCTCAGAAAAGAGATATACTTCAAATATAGAGAACTGGCTGTGCCAAGGCCTGGGGTCAGTGTGGGGCAGGACAGGATGACAGTCACCAAGGGCAGCTCCCAGGATGCAGATTGGACAATGGAGGAGTGATGCTGCCTGAGACACTGGCTTGGACAGTAGATGGCACTGCTATTCATGACAATAGACAATCCTGAGGTGCCTAGGTGCCAGTTAGGACCTGGAGGAACCTTGATTGGATCACTTTAAGAACTGGAAATTACCATTTGGGGTTCTTGCTGGTCACTTTTTACTTAGATTTGTTATGAGGCAAGGAAACCTAGCTGAAGCCCAAGGGCTGCTACTAAGCCTGAAAAGAATGTCATTTGACCAAGAGACCAGCAATGTTCTTCTTCCAGTCATGCATGTGACTAGAGGAAGACTTCCATAGTAGCTCCTGGAGGACACATCAGTTGAGGACAAAGTACAGAAACAGAGGGCAGATGACAAGACATTGGGCCTAGAGCTGGGACAGCTGCTAATTGAATCAGCAACAGTTGAGTGCTGAAATGGGACAGGAAGAGGGTGAGTCTGGCTCCCAGGAGCCTGCAGGGGCTGTTAGGCACCTAATATATGCAGTTCAACAACATTCCTGGTAGGTATACAAGCTAGTTGAGGTGTCCCTGTTCCCCGGGATATCATGGTTCTGATGAACTCCCAAGGAAGCCCCCTGTGATTCCTAGCTTCTCCCAGATTAGCTCTGGCTATCACTGCAGTCACAATGTAACCTGATGGGTTACATATCCTTTCCACATGGGCCAAATAAGAAGGCATCAAATCACAAAAGGAAAAAGATGCTTTAAAAAATAAATCTCAAACTAGCTTCGAATTTGCTATGTAGCTAAGGATAGCCTGGAGCTTCTAATCCTCCTGTCTCTACCTCCCAAGTGGTCACAAGCATGTCTATCACCACATCTGGTTTGTGGGGTTCTGGGGATCAAACCCAGAGCTTCCTGCATACACTCTACTAACTTAGCTACGGGCCCAGCTGTAAATGGCGTTCTTAACTGGTCTAGTTAATAAAAAGTCAGAGTCAGATACAGAGGAAAATGCTGAGAGATCAGAGAGAAGAAGAAGCAAGCCATAGCCACACCTTACCTCCTTAGTGTCTTACCTCAACAGACAAGAGAGCAAGTTCCTGTTTCTCCCTGCTTATATCCTGTTTCTGCCCAGCTACATCATTTCCTGTCTGTCTATACAGACCTCCAGACCTCTATTGTTAGCTAGTGGCAAGCTCCATTCTCTGACCTTCAGACAGGCTTTATTTGTACAAGCAAGATGTCACCACATCTCAGCCTCAGCCCCACAGGTAAAATTTCATAAAGAATTTGCACACCATCTCCCAACAATAAGGAGCTTGCCCCACAAAGGCAGCATTAAGTCCCTAATAGACTGTGAAACCAAATCCATGAGTGTGGTGATATATTATTTATGATTTATTAAAACTTGCCTGAGGATTCAAAAAGCAAAGTCAGCCACAAGCTACACAAGCCAAGCACACACACACATACACACACACCTTTAATCCCAGCAGCCAGAAGCTAGGAGGTGGTGGTACATGTACCATCCTGGGCTACCAGAGAGTGAATCAGAGCTCACACCTTTAATACCAGGATTTGAGAGGTATAAAAGTAGACATTCAGTCTGAGAATTAGTCTCTAGCCACACTGGGGAGAGCATAGCAGTCTGAGTGAATCGGAGGAGCAGTGGAGTCAGAGCAGTTTGAGGATCACCCCTTTGGTCTGAGCTGAGGTGGAGGTAGAGGTAAGAGTTAGTGGCTGGCTGCTTTGCTTTTCTGATCATCAGCTTTGAAGCTTGAACCCCAATATCCGTCTCTGGGCCTTTTATTTATCCTGTTACACAGGAGTAACTTCATTTAGGCAAATATTCTTTTCATTTCTTCCCTCTCTAATTTGAGATGCCCCAAGATGACGTCTCATTCAAGAATAAATAAATGAACATTCAAACTCAAGTGTGAAAGAAGCCTAGAATCAAGGATATGTGGAGAGTGGTCAATTGTGACCTTTTGGGAGCCCCCCCATTCTGATAAGATGGTCCCCTGGTAGTTTGAGTAGCTCCTTGGTCCACTCTGCTGTGGTTGTGCCTAGGGGAATCTGTGTGGTCCAGTCAGTGTCCCAACTACCAGACCATGTCCCTGCATTAGGAAGTTCCACAGTTGTCACAGATGAATAATGGTGGCATAGACCAGAGCTCAAACACGACCTTTGAAGAGAGACTAATTTATTAGGAAGTCATTCAGGGATTTACGTGCTCTGGTTCTGTTTGTTCCTTTCAAGCTCATTCTGCCATAAATGTCACAGTGAGTTGTCTTCTGTATTTTATTGGAACAGCCTCCTCCCCTGAGCCAAATGTATTTTGTTTCAGATAACCAGGGCTTGACTGTAGGAATCCTGGTGAGCATCCTGTGTCTGCTGGCCGCTGGATTTGTAGTATATCTCAAAAGGAAGACCTTGATGCGGCTGCTGTTCACACATAAGAAAACCACCATAGAAAAGCTGAGGTATGTCATCTCCTCAAGAAATGACAGCTGAAGAATGTTCAGCTTCTCGATGCATTACCCTCAGCAAGGGAGGGAGACAGATTTTCTGGATAGTAACACTGGGTCTTTGGGTTTCTTTTGTTTGTTTTTGCTTTTGTAAGTGTCTGCCAGGCCAGCTGTCTCTTTGACTCTCCCTTCAAACTATGTGCCGTCCATTACATAAATAAGCAGGGTGTTGGTGAATTCCATGGATAGGTCTCCTCTCATCTTTGCATTAGTATTTTTTTTTACAAGGCATGTGGACACTGGAATGTGTTCCTCAGATGGCGGAGCTTCAGGCCCAAATTTGCTTGGAGACACTATTGCTGAAATGCCAGCTTCATGCAAAACATCCCCTATGCACCCAAAGTTAAGTTTCTATGGTTTTCAGTTAACTAATTTGACATTAACAGTGACTGGAGAGCAGAGGTCAGTATGCATTTTTTTCAATTCATGGACATGTTAGATCTTTTTCTTTCCCCGTCATGATTGTCCATGGAGTTGTTTTTGTTTGTTTGTTTGTTTGTTTTTTAAAGTGACAGTCTAAGTATCACCAGGAACAGAATATGAGCAGTTATAGCAAGAAGAGATTAAAGCCCTTGCTTAGCAAATGTTGGGTTGCCTTGTAGGTGTGTGCACCCTTCCCGGATACCCAGTGGCTCTCACCTTAGCCAGGCTCACCCCACCCTCGGAAAAGGCCTGCTGATGAGCCGGTCACCACATTCCAACACCCCCAAGGTAGGTTACACAAGGACTTAGTGTGCTGTAAAGGCATGACTTTTACAGGACAAGGTTGCATGGGAAAACAGGGCTCCATCATTCCTATGAAATGCTTAGTCAGCATATTTGGTTCACCCATACCCTACTGCCCCTGCAATGGTCAGGGCCCAGAGGTAGGACCTAGAGGTAAGCCCCAGAGTAATTGCCTGAGGTCCCTAAAAGATTCTGATAAGGCAATCAGTGTCCCCACATAGTGTGGTATGTGTCTATTACAAACCACAATCAATATCTGCAGTGACCTAGACCCGCCATCTTCTCAGCAGCCACTCTAGGGATGCAGCCAGAGAAGACTCCTGTTCCAGGGGTCACCAGCTGTGTCTAGCTGAGCTTTCTGGCCTGTGTCTAAGTTCTACTGAGCCTCCATTTTGCCCAGAACTGTAGAATCCATGCCCACTCTCTTCTTTTAAAAAGCTATATCCTTATCCTTAGGTATCCAATGGTTCCTCCATGTCTCAATGTTTGGCTTGTCCACAAGAACCCTTAAATATTGAACTCCATTATGGTTTGGATGTGAGTTCAGCATTGACTCATGTGTTGCACACTTGGCCTCTGGGTGGTGGTTGCCAGGTGGAGGAAACTTCAGGACATTGAACCTCCTAAAGGGAAGTTGATCCCAAGGCAGGAAGAGGGGATTTGAAGGCTGGCCTGGTCTCTGTCACTTCCTCCCTGCTTCCTGTCCATCAGATGGTTCTGAACACACTTCTATTATGCTGTTCTACTTAAGAGCATAGGGCCAGGCAACCGTGGGCTGAACCTCTGAAGCCATTAATTAGCCTTACTAAACCTTCTTTCCAAGCTGCTCACACCAGGCACTCTGTCATAGCAATACAATATCTGAGGCAAACTCGGAAAAATTAAAAGAGGGAACAAGATAGGTGCCAAGAAATGAAAAATTACTGAAAAGGATATTATCACCAATTCATCAGGCAATACACTGTTTTGCTTCTCTTGGTCTAAAAGGTAGAAGTTGGGCTTCTAAAAAGGAAGCCATCACTCCCAGTAAATGTGCCTCCCTTCATCCCCAAACCTGGACCCACCAGCTAGAAACGTGTGTTTTATGGGGGCCAAAAGCAAGAGCTAAAAATTGGAAAAGATCCAGAGGCCTAAAGACAGGTGAAAGGTTAACAGTGGGATATTACACAGCAGCAGTTGCTACTCAAGAAGACAGAGTCAGCCACCGACTCACGGAACACTGAGCACAAAGCTCAAAGTAGCCTTTCCAAGCCAGAGGACCTGTCAGAGAAGGAGCACACATTCTAGGGTGCCATGTATGTACGACTTTAAAACATGAAAACTCATTTAGAATGACGCAAGGATGCCAAGGTCTAGGGGAGATGTGAGGGAGGCACAAGTGACAAGGTAGCTCCTCTGGGGGACAGACGCTTTGTCATGGTGGCTACAATAGCTCCATGAGTATGAACATCAGTCAAGCCAGGCATGATGGCACGTGCCTGTACATGAAAAGCATCAAATCACAAGAACACAGATGCAAAACAAAAGGTTGGGTCAAGAAAATAACTACCTAATTATGCACATGAAATACATTCAGTTAACTGGGTATCAGTCATGCCTCAGGAAGAGTTGTTTATAAAAAAAGAGTGTAAAGTACCAGGTCATGCTGCACCTGCTCTGGTCCTCCTTCAAAACACAAGGGAAGCTTGTCCAGAGATGAACACCTCACTTCTGGAGCAGGTGGTTCTCACGTTACCCTTAGCCGTGTGCACACTAAGCAGGTGCCTTCTTTATAATGTCTTTGTGATCCAGTCTGTGTCTACATACTTGATACTTCAAGTTTCTTTCATCTATTTGTAACTTAAACCAGATTGGAGATTGAGTGATTGAGGTGAAATCTTCTATACTAGCTTCAAACTCCAGTTCTCCTGCCTCAGCCTTCTAAGTGCTACAGTCACTAGTTTGGGTTTTAATGTTCATTTTTTTTAATCTATATAAAAACACAACTCTCCATTCCAGATGTAGGGGTTGCTTCCTTTAGAATTTTGAGGTGTAAGTCAGTAAATACAGTCCTTCATATGGACACCCTGGACCTCCCCTTCCCAGGTAGATGGTGGCCATAGACTGGTTAACACTGTTCTTTCCTTAGGAAGTGAACCCCATCAGAGCTGACTTTCTGCTTTGACCATGCAGGACAGGCGGTCCCTGCAAAGCCAGACCATCGACATCAGCAGGCCCCTCAACACTCGAGCCATCCCTCATCCCCAGTCACCTCAGCGAGTGCTCCCGCCTCTCCACCAGGCCCCACGTGCACCCAGCGGCCCTGTCAGGCCCCTGCCTGCCAATCCTGCACTCCGGCAGGCCCAGGTATGCTGCCTGTGCTGCCTGGGTAGGATGCAGTTCAAATCCAGGCTCTGCTAGTTCCTAACATGTAAAGTTGGGCAAATTATTTAACATAGTGACTGCATGAAGTAGAATTCAGTTAAATCAAATATTCAGAGTTGTTTCCATGCCCATATAATTTATCATCTAAGCCAGGACTTAAAATGTTTTCTATTGTAGGTGATTTTTACCTGAGGAATTTTTTATAGGACTCTGGGTATGTAGATAAGGACAGGAAAATATTAAAAAGTCTGATTTTTCAGTAATTAACCCTTTGTTTCTGGGGGAGCAGACAACCTTCTATGTGCAGTGGAAGCATGACAATTCCTAACAGTCTTGAATCTGAGATGAGGTGTCCTTGGGAGTGTTTGTCAGTGGTCCATGATGTGATCATTTGCATTGCATGCTCAGAACCAAGGCCACAGTGAAGTCATGGGATGTGACATGGGCAAGCACATCCAGACCACCACAGATTTAGGACACATTTGGCTTGCTTCTAGTTGCTGCATGTTGAGTTAATGACCCATAGCTGAAGAAGCTGGGATTTCAACTCTAATATTTTGAGCATGGTTATGGCAACATGAATAATGAAACAATCATTTTTAAATGCTATCATTATATTTTCTTATGGTGTTATTTTTTCTATGTTTGTGATTACATCTTTAACATAAGTGATATTATTCTCTATGTACACAACTTTCTAGCCCACATTTCTGCTTTAAAGTTGTTTCTATATACCTTGCCAATGCAGAGCTTATACAATGTTCTTTTAACAGCAACATGCTGCTTGGGTGTGAAATAGTTTTTGAAGTACCTGTAAGTTAGTGGATATGTTTGATAGCTATGGCTTTTTGCTTTGTAAACAGTTCTTATTTGGAGGATCTGGACAGATACATTTTGGAGTTCCTTTAGGGAAGATTCAAGTGAAATATCAAATTGAAAACACAGATCTTTAAGTGGTTGGACAAAGTTAAATGGTTAGAGTATTACATATACTTAGGTTCTCATATTGATGCCAGCAAGGTCATGATGAGAAAGAGATTGGTATTTCAAAGCTTTGCTTATTTGGTAGATAAAATGTAGCATCTCCATTTTCTGTCTGGTAGTTTAATCAGTTCCTGAGAGGGGGTGCTGGAGAGGCCAAGGATAAATGTGCCTGGGCCCATCAGTTTTGGTTTCAATTTAAACATTTCTTAGTATCTGAGATTCATTTATCTACAGTATTGTCTCCTCTGCATTTTGAAATTTTGGGCTGGGTAAGTGTTATGTGGGATTTCCTTGGGCTTTTGTGGGAGGCTCAGCAACACTGAACTCTCTCAATCAACAATAACACTTGTAATCGTGTTTTCATTATTGCTGTCTCCTGAGGGTCAAAATTTGCCTTGATGGGAAAAAACACTTTTCTGAAAATCAATCCATCTTTGTACCAGTATTTTATTGCTTCAGGAGGAATGTAGGATCCCCAGCTTTTAGGTCTCATTGACCTCCTTTTTAAATAACAGATGACTTAAAATCATGGCCTTTGAAGCTAGAAAAATGCCTCAGAGGTTAAGAACACTCACTGCTTTTTCAGAGGACCTGGGTTCAATTTCCAGAACCCACATAAGTTCTACAGGCTTGCATGTGGTGCACATACACTTGGACACAATGTATATATATAAAATATTTTAAGTGGCCTTTATGGGCATCAAGAGCCACTTCAGATGGAATTTTTGCTTTCAGCCAAACAGACTTTTTAAAACCAATAAGGAGTTGATTATATGTACTCTTACAGTGAGTACATTTATAATCGGCTTTTCCCCCTTCCTGATGTTCTACATCTCACCATTTCCTTTCTTCCTGAAAGACTTCAGTTCACTATTCTTTTAAGCAAGCCTTTTGCTGGCACATTATTAGCATCTCTTTGTCTAAGGATGTCTTTTTCATTCATGAAGGATATTTTTGCTGGGTATAGAATTTTAAGTTGACTTTGGGGAGGGGTTCCTCCCATTTCATCTGGACTATGAGGTGATAAGAAATCCACCAAGAGTTCTTTCCATGGTCTCTGCTCCAGGAAAGTAACGCCACCAATCATTTGGTGGGGGCAGGGTGTCTCTGGGGTTGAGCTGGAAAAAATTGTATATGGTCAAAATATTTGTTTTTTCTGGACATCCCTGGTCCTGGGCTTATCACTACAGAGGGAGGCTTTCTTGGGTTTGTTTCTATTTCTTTGGTGCCATTTAGTTATTTCCTATATAAGTACTCACCTATTTTATTCTCTTGTTTCTTTTACACATCCTGGCTAGGGCTCTAGCATGCACCTATGTGCACATGAAAGGACCCACCACTGGGTAGTTCCTTGAGTCTAGAGTTCACTGGGTAGTCTTTTTCTCTAATTTTCAATTGCTTGATGATCTTTTTGTTGCATGTACCAAAAGGAATAAGGTAAACTGTGATTCTTCCATCTTGTCACAACCTCATTTCCCTTTTTCTGTTATTGCTAATAACAGGCAAACTACTTTATATCTAGCAGCTCTTTATAAGGAAAAAAAAGCTTTGGCTCTCAGCTAATTTCTCTGTCCTAAAAACTTGTATCCTGACCAGTTTCAAGCTATAAACATGTTACTTCACAAGGAGTCCAAAACTGGGCATGGTAAGCTCATAGCAAAGCTCCATGGCACTGCTTCAGCAGTGTGCTCTGAATTACCTGGTGCTGGCTGTAACTTTCTTTTTTTTTAACTTCACTGTTGAGAGGCTATCTTGACTTCGGACATATCAGAAACTCTGGTATTGAATCAGTGTACATTTCCTTTTGTGAATCTCATTGCTTGCATGCTCACAATGCCCTCTCCCACTCACTACCAGTTAGGATCCTTGTATGGTGTCTTCAGCTGGTTTTGTGGGCAGCTGAAAGTTCTCCCTTCCATTTGTTTTTCTCACCTGTCTTGGTTTATCTTGCTATTGGGCAACAGGCACATCCCAAACATGGCTGAGCTAGGTAATTACTTGGGAATCTGACAGGAGCTGTGAACTCCAATGCTCGGTGCCTTGCACACATACCTCACGTATTCCCAGAGCCTGGGATTCCCTCATATTGAGGCTTCTTAGTCCTCTTTTGGCAGTGCTACCTCTGTACAATGCCAAACAGGAACTAATAGGCCATGTGATCCAAGAGGAGCTGCGCACAGTGGCTTTCTCCCGCAGCTGTCAGTGCTCACAGAAGTGGCTCCTTCAGAGCCCCAAAGCCTTTTTTTGTGAACCTCTTTCCCTTTAGCCACCAGTCACTGAAAACTCCACATTCTCACTCTGAGCTGTGTCTGTCTGAAGCCTTTCAGAGACATGTGTCACAAATAACTGCCTGATTTCCCTCACATCACACACAGGGACCTGGAATCCATTCCATGCAGGTGGAGGCTGTATCTAGAGGTGACTCTTGCTTGGCAGCAAGAATTGAATCCACTGACACTTTTACAGTTCCCTAGGTACCATCCCACATGACATGACACGGATGTGCCTGTATGGCTAACCCTGCTATGCTTGTCCAAGTTTAGAGAACAACCTTCAGGGGATGGTTCCCTTTCCGCCTTGCTGAGGCATGTGGTTTTGACAGTAGGATGAGCCTCTCTCTCCATCTTTTCATAGGTGTGCTATGATCACAGATGGGCACCAACTCATTAGGAATTTTTTATGCGAGTCCTAGGAATTCAAATTCAGGCCCTTACATTCAAGGGGCAAGCACTTTACCCACCGAGTCACCTCCCTAGCCTTACAGTGTGACCAGTGTTACTCCTGCAGGAAGGCGAACACAGACAAGGCCAGTGGTGGGGGGGAGGGGGACTCAACCTCTGATCTCCTAAGACACCCCAGCTGAAACCCATGCTCAGTCAAGTCTCATTTATTACGTTAATAATCGTGTCACTTACAGTTTAAACAAAAGCATACTCAACGTCCCAGAAAAGAAATACGTTTCTCAGCTCAGGGAAAATTGTGTCTTGAGGAGACAGGGCTAAGTCATGACAGAGCTACAGTTTTCCAGTGATAGACTTGATGGGATGGGATCCTAAAAGGGTCTGAGTGTTGTCTTCAGTTTCATCAGTGACCATTCTCGTAATAAGCAGAGCCTCACCTGTGTGCCACTGGCCCAACACTAACCTAAATTTGCTTTGCTAAACATCTGTCCCATTGAATGGCATTTGAATGATGCCTGCTGATGTGTGGGCACACTTGATCTAAGCATCTCTTTTTCATTACTTCCTAGCATTTTCCAGGTAACTAGGGTATTTAAAGTCTCAGTGAATTACTGAAGTGAACTAAGGGCTGAGATTATGCTCCCAGGTTCATTAGAGAAACAGGGACTTTTAACAACTGAACCCATCAGTTGGGGGAAGATGGATTTTTACTGTGTCATGCTCCTTTCTTGAAAATGCTGCCAGGTTCAAGAGAATTATCTGTCCTGGTTTGTGTGCTGTGTACCTACACTGCAGAAATTTCAACCAAACAGCAATGGCAGGATGCACTTTCATTGTTATATTTACCACCAAATTGTGTGTGTCAGAGTGTTGTGTGTACTCAAGTGTGCATGTTTTGGTACAAGGAGCCTGTGGTTGTGCCTTTAATGACTATAAAACCATTCAAACACACACTTACTGAGCACTGAGTACATGGCAGGTGCCCCAGAGCTGAGTGCCTGGCAGGTGTTTCTGCTCCCTGGGAGCTGAGAGAGGTTGCTACCATAAGCTCCAGTTTATGAGGTAACAGAGCACAGTAAGGCTGCATATTCCATGAGCAAGGAGGTAAAGGTAGTATCTTAGATAGGGTTTCTATTGCTGTGACTAGACACCATGACCATGGCAACTATTTTTTTGCCTTTTTTAATTTTTTTGTTCATTTTTAAATTTTCTATATTCCAATCCCAGTTCCCCCTTCCTCCTTTCTTCCCAAATCCCCCACTCCCTCCCTCCTCCCATCTGCTCCATGGAGAGTGTAAGGCTTCCCCTAGGAAGTCT